ACCCCAAAGATATTTAGGAACATTCATGAAAAACATAAGTGTCCTGATAACTTCGAGTAAATGTCTATTTTTTTGCAGCAATATCATTTTGTTGTGGTGTCCACAAGTGAAATGATGCAGAATACATTTTTCCAAAATAAATGTTCTTAAATATTTGTTGAAATATTCAGTCACATAATACGTTCTTAGAATGTCAATTTTTGTTTGAAATTGATTTTCAATCATGTGAAAAAAATCTTTAAATCGTTGTTCAACTTCAGATTTCTTTTTCAATAAATACAACCAGCAAACTTGTGTGTGATCATCAATAAATGTTACAAACCATTTTTTTCAGAAAGTGTGTTAACTTTGGATGGGCCCCAAACATCACTATGCACTAAATAAAATGGTTTTGAAACAGAATATGATTTTATTGGAAACGAAACATGATGACTTTTAGTAAATTACACGCTTCACAATGAAGTTTTGAACAATCAATACCCTTAAATAGTTTAGAAAATAAAGATTTGAGATATGGAAAGTTAGAATGCCCTAATCTTTTATGTCATAACATAACTTGATCATAGTCAAAACTTGAACTTGTACTATCTAATCCATGAGCTGTTTTATTCATAATAGTCTGAGAAGCAGGCGAAGTCCAGCGTCCCGCATATGTGTATGCATAACGCATTAGGGTGAACATTCCTGTTGTGCCCTTCTCCGCTCTCCCTCGCTCTAGCCTTTCCGATCATCCTTCTTCTTCCTCACCCTCGCCGAGATCGACACCAAGGTAAAATTTTATGACGAAAATCCCCAATCTCGCCCTTCCCGGTCATTCTTCTGCTCCTTCTCGCCTCAAATGAGGTATGTTTTCTTCCTCCCCCATTCTCATTTGGAGTGCACTTGATATGAGCAAAAAGTTAATGTATGAGCTAAACCCTGTGAGGCTGATATTAGCTAAAATTTGTCATGTATTTCACCTATTACATGCAAGATGCGGGAATGGAGCAGCAAAGAGATTGTCCTGCAACATGAGTTTTCTGTTGGAGTTGTTTTTTCTCTGTTGGAGTTGTTTTTTTTTTCTGATTCGAGAAATATGCACAAGTTTTTTAAAAACAACTATAAAAGAGATGTTGGCGTTTATTTTTTACATATTTTTGCCGGTTATATTCCTTTATCATTTTCAGGTTGAAAAACAGCTATCAAAGAGCTCATATATGGAGTACATAAGTCTCATTTTCATTGTGGCCATCAAGAACAAAAAGGGCTTTATTTCCTTCAATCATCTGAAAGGCAGATTTTATTAGTAGTTATAAAGCACAACTTGATTACTGAACAAAATTCAGTTTGAGGTTTAGCTAAACAGAGATGTTGGAGTTTACTTGCTTGCTTGAGTTTAGAGAACTTGTTTTCTAATGGATTGACTTTACAAAAATAGAGTGTTTGATATATACAATTTTTCATTAGTCTTGACGAGGATTATGCATGAAGTTTTAAGAGCATTTTTTTATGCAATTTGATATTTTTTGTTATTCAAATCTCTCTTCAGCTGGACGGTGTTAATTGAATGGCTAAATAGATTTGGCCAGGGAGTTGTAGATGCAGTTGTTTCATTTTTTTTTTTGAATTGTCAGGGAGTAATTTGATTGGTTGCATTTTACTGGGTTACATTCGATATTCTGCAGTTGCAATTGCTGCATTTTGAGTACCAGATTAATCTGTTTTCGGTTCTTTTTTTTTTTTGAATGGATGGAAGAATTTTAGTGTTATGTATGGAGCTTGTTTAGTTAAGAGCATGTTGTAGTAAACTTCAATTAAGGACCATAACTATGTAATCTTACAGATTTGCTTAATAAATTTTTTGTGGATTGCCTTCTGTGGATGTAGGTCTTTGGTCAAACCACATAAATCTCTCGTTTATATGTTTCTGTTCTCATTTTAGTTCTGTTTCAAATAGTTTTACCAGGAGGGGCAGACAGGGGCAGAAATGTCATTTATACAACAATAACTACCAAGAGGGGCAGAAATGTCATTTATATAACAATAACTACCAATAAACTATTCTGAATAAGCTGCCTCGAACAGCAATTCAGATTATTCTAATAATCTACAAATTATCAGATTATCAGAATAATTTGTTTATCAACATATTATAAATAATCAATAGCTGCCCAAAACAGACCTTAAATAGTTTAGGAAATAAAAATTTGAGACATAGAAAGCTAGGATGCCTAATCTTTTAGGTCATAACATAAGCTTGAACCAGTAATACCTAATCCACGAGTTGTTTTATTCGCAGAATCAGTTCCATCATAGTAGTACAACACATTTGTTTCTCTAGCAGTTCTAATCATCTTCCCCGAGTTCCGGTCCTGAAAAACACAATTGGAAGGAGAGAAAATAATAGAATAATCAGAATCTTTAGAAAATTTGCTAACGGAAAGAAGATTACATGTAAGTTTTAGAACATGTAAGACAGATTTCAAAGAGATTTTTTCTGAAATTTTAATATTTTCTTTTCCTGTAATAGGTGAAAAACTGCCATCAGCAATTCTGATTTTTTCGGAACCAGAACATGGATTATAGGAATCAAATAATTGAGAACAGCTTGTCATATAATCAGAGGCTCCTAAATCAATAATCCAATGAGTGGTACTTCCTAAAAAGGTCAAAGGATTACTACCTGTTTGTGCTATAGAACCGATAGGCGCATTAGATGATGAGCAAAATTTCAGAAGTTTAAGAAGATGAATCAATTATTCTTTACTAAGTGGAGATGACTCAGTCTCATTTGCGGTAGGTGTGTTATGTTCACCATATTTTTTTCTTTTACCATTAGATGGTTTACCATGCAATTTCTAGCATTTTTCGTAAGTATGGCACGGCTTTCCACAGTAGTCACAGTGCAGATTATTTTTGTCTTCTACACGCTGGTTGTGAGAAGTTTTCCTACTTAGTTGAGCTTCAAGAATAGCCAGTGTTGATCCTTCCACGGACTCGATTGAGCCTGCAGTCTTTTTTCCCAACATCAAATGTCTCCAACTCTTTTCTCTTCTTACCTCCGTAAAAACTTCACCAATTAGAGGCAGGGGATTTCTTCCAATTATTCGGCCACATACCTCATCATATTCAATATTCAAACCTGCAAAAAATTCAAAGATTCGACCAATATCCACTATCTTCTTGTACTGGTTGTTATCATCGTTTAATTTTCATTCATGATCGTTGAATAAGTCCAGGTCATGCCAAATTCGCTTAAGAGAATTGAAATATTTTGATTGAAATATTTTGTATTGAAATATTTTGTCACAGAATTCTCACCTTGGAAAATTTCCCCAAATCGTAGGGTCAACTAATATACACTTGAGATTGATTTCCGAGATCAGAGTACATTTCTGAAACATTGTCACATAATTCCTTGGCTGTAGAGTCACACAGATAATTTGCACTTATCTCTTCAGTCATGAAATTGAC